TGGGTATAGGGTTGACTGGCAATGAACTCTAGGTCTTCCAGGTGGGAGGGATAGGGTTGACGAGCATTGAACTCTAGGTCTTCCAGGTGGGTGGGATAGGGTTGACCAGCATTGAACTCTAGGTCTTCCAGGTGGGTGGGATAGGGTTGACTGGCAATGAACTCTAGGTCTTCCAGGTGGGTGGAATGGGAGGGGAGGGCGGTGGTTCACCAGCAGCAACCTTGAGGTCCACCCACCTTGTGGGTGGAATGGGACCTGCCCAGCAGCGACCTCGAGGTCTTCAAGGTGGGTAGGATGGGGTTGACCAGCGATGAATCCAAGGTCTTCAAGGTGGGTAGGATGGGGTTGACCAGCGATGAATCCAAGGTCTTCAAGGTGGGTGGGATGAGGTTGACCAGCAATGAATCCAGGGTCTTCAAGGTGGATGGAATGGGGATGCTGACCAGAGGCAAACTCACGGTATTCAATGTTGGTGGGATGGTGGAAGGTGTAACCAGTAGCAACTTTGAGGTCTCCCCTGAAACCTCCATGCTCATGGAGCCGGGGTCCCCACGCTCACACCCCCCCACCACCACCCACCAGGCCTGGGCAATGGCAAGTGGGCGATATGATGGGTGCACTGATGACCCGGCCAAGTGGAAGACCAACTTCCGCTGCGCCCTGAGGAGCACCCGCATGTTCAGGATGCTGCATGACAACTCCAAACGTGGTGACGACCCACACAAAGTCTTTGCTATCAGCTCAGGTAAGCCTGGTCCTATGGGGGGCTGTGTTGGTGGTGGGGTAGGCAATCTCAGGGTGCCCCGCTCATGCCACTCTCTTCCAGCAGCCCTTGGGCATGGCGAGGAGGGAGATTTTGGCAGCCCTGACCCTGCGGTGGACCAGCCGACGCTGCACCAGCCGGCGCAGGTAACGGGGCTGGCACTGCGAGTCAGGGTGCCCCCACTGCTGCTGCTCAGGCATTGCACCCCTATGTCCTTGGGGTGCTCCTGAGCTGCAGCCCAGCACCCTGCTGAAACGTGGGGCAAGGTGAGGCTGGGTGCTCCCCATCCACAGCAGTAAGACCCATCCTGCTTCCCTTTGCAGCTGGAGCTCGCCTCTCAAGACACGGCCCCAGAAATGGCCCCCCTAGGTAGGCACTGGTCCCCCAACTGTTCACGGGGGGCTCCCCGGTAGGCTCAGCTAGGGCTGATTTTGGGGTTGTAAGACCTCCTACCTGCTGTGACCCTCCTCAGGCAACAACGACCCCGCACAGCTCCCAGTGCTGGACAACCTGGATGAGCTGCAGCGGGTGCTGCAACATTGCAACATCTCCCCCCGCAACGTTGGGACCCTGGACCCAGCCTGGCCACCTGCAGGTGAGACCACCTCTGCTTGTAGGGTGCCGGGGGGGTGACCCCAGCCCCTTCCCACTGGTGATTTCTCTGCAGTGGATGCCCCCCACCAGGACATGCTGCTCCAGCCTCACCAAGATCTCAGCCAAAACAACTGCCTCCCACCGCCGACGTGTCAGCAGTGGGTGCCATTGGCACAGCAACCCGCCTTGGGCGCCTACGGCCCCTTGGACCCCATGCTGCTGGACGACCCAGGTGGGTGCTGTGGGGCAGGACCCAGCCCCAGGCGTGGAAATGCCGTAACGGGGTGGGAAGAGGCTGAGGTGCTGCCACATGTACTCCATGCCAGAGCAACACCCCCCACCCCTCCCTGCACCCCAAATTGTGACAGCAGCACTGCCGTCTTCCGCCACAGAGCCCACGCCGCTGCCGTGCCACCCACCAGAGGCCATGGTCCCTGTGCTGTCCCCAGGGGAGGCCGTGCTCTTCGCTCGGGCCCCCAGCCCTGTGCCACCGCCGCCGCCGGAGGATAACCCAGGTGATGTTTGTTAATTATTAACAGCTATAACTCATTATTATAATTGATACCAATAAATATTATATACAATTATTAATATTAATGTTAAACTGGATTATTAATAGCTATGACTAATTATTGTAGTGCTAATAACAAATACTGTATATAATTATTAATATTTATTAGCTCTCAGTAGAGGCTTTTGGAGGGGGGGGTAGCATTTTGGTTGGGGGAATGCGGTTGCTGATGACTGCCCGGTGCAGGTAGCATCATCTCTGCCCTGGACATCACCATCTTCTACCGGGGGAGGGTTGTCCACCAGCAGGAGGCGAAGGGCAGCCACTGCCTGCTGGTGTACCAGCCCTGCGACCCAGCGGTGGCCGAGCGCCCGGGGTGCCAGGTGCACTTCCCCAGCCCCGCCGAGCTGGCCGACAGGAAGCAGCGGAAATGGACTGAGGAGCTGCTGGGCAACGTGGGGCTACAGCTGGAGCAACGGGCCAACAAGATCTTTGCTACCCGCCTGAAGAAGTGTAAGATCTTCTGGGCCCTGTCCCAACAACTGGAGAGCGGCGAGGACCCCCCATACAACATGCTCTGCCGGGACCAGGAAACCGCCATCTTTGACTTCAACGACTTCTGCACAGGTGGGCCAGGGGTGTGTCGTGTGTCTGTCCACTGGCCCCCATCCACCCCTCCCCCCCCCCCGCCCCCAGTTTTG